GCCACACATGATCAGATATTTCATCTCTGATTTGATTTGCATTTCAATTGTGTTTTTACATTTGTACAACGGATGTTGTCTGTGCAGCACCTGCAAAGTCTAATCTGATGTTAGAAGCACACTGGTTTGTGATATCTTAATGCTACAGTGTTAGTGATGGGCGTGGTTTACCTAAGAATTCTTCAGGAATGGTTAAATATCTCCTACCACCTCTTCCAAATTCTTTTAAGAAGTTGAAAGGAGATGCTGATGTAACATACTAGTATTTGGATGTTAGCAGTCTACTTTATGTTTCAGATTAGAATTGAAAATAAAGTATTAATTTTAAACTTACATATTTCCTCATATTTGCTGTTTTTTCCTTTCCTACGCAATTTATGAAAAGGTTCACATGTTTTGATTCCAAAATGAGTCTGAATTATATTGAATGAGTTAAACAGTGTTAGAAGACTCTGTCTTCTGTTTTCAGGTTCAGTTCTGGATATTATTAAGCACATTGTGGCAAAGGGGGAACACAAAAATGGAGTTCTAGATGAATCTACCATTGCCACAATACTCCGAGAAGTATTGGAAGGATTGGAATACCTACATAAAAATGGACAGATTCACAGGTAAGTGAAAGACAACACTCTTGTGTTCTATTTCATTAAGGGCATTCCCATTCTTTCATGGAATTAATCATGTTTTTTGAGTGTTATCATTAACTCTTTGTGTCACTAATTTTAATACATTGTGGTTAGAATTCTAATTATACACTAGTAAGTATTTAAAAAGTAGAATGGGTATTTTAGAAAAATTAGAAAATATAAAAACAGGAAAAATCCATAATTTTGTATCGGGGGAAATCACTGATAACATTTTGGAACATTGCCTTCCATTTTCTTTTATGAGTTTAAATTAAACAACACTATATATATTTGGCTGTTGCTTTATTTTGAACCTCAATTAGAATAAATTTGAAGGCTAGGGTTATATACACACTGACTTGGCAAACTTCGAATTTTTAACTATACCCCGAGTTAACCTTAGGTCATATAAATTAAAATCACAACATTTTTATGCACATAAAAATTAATACAAGGCATGCACATAATACTTCAGATGCCAAATGATAGAAATAAATGATTATTCTTGCTCAGTGGTTTATATATTATAAAGCAGACCCTTTCCTAGGTCCACACTTACTTGATTTGACCTCACAATTAGCTATATAAATTAATGCATTGCTGTTACTCTAAAACAAACATTGGGTTTTTATCTTTTTCTTTTTTATTCTTTTTAAATAAAAAAAATTGAGACAGAGTGTCAACCTGTCACCCTTGGTAGAGTGCTATGGTGTCACAGCTCATAGCAGCCACTAGTTTTTGAGCTTAGGCAATTCTCTTGCCTCAGCCTCCCGAGTAGCTGGGACTACAGGCGCCTGCCACAATGCCCAGCTATTTTTTTATTGCAGTTTGGCCTGGGCAGGGTTTGAACCCACTCTGAGTATATGGGGCCAGCGTCCTACCCACTGAGCCACAGGTGCCGCCCTGGGTTTTTATCTTTGCAAACTTAAGTTTGATAATGATTTTCAATCATTGGTCTGTGAATCTTCAAAATTAGTTGCTTGAGACTCTAGAAGCAAATTTATTGGCCTGTCACTTAAAAATTGTTCATCATACTTTTTTTAATAACTAAAACCAAGGTAAAAATTCTTGCTTCTACCCCGTTTTCCAAAAAAGTTGCCTTTCATTAGAATTTTGTTACAAAGATATTTTTCCTCCCTGGTAGCAAATGTATTTATCAATTTCCAAAGCCTTATATGCTAACAGTCTAAATTTTAAGTGTTAAGATTTCAAAGGATTCATTACAAAATGATTACATAGCCAATTGACATTTTAATGCTATTTATTGCAAAATATAGATGCTTTAAAAAAAGCAATCAAAGCATACTATTCTAAGTCTATAAATACCTCCAACTATTTTGCAACAATTGCTGTAAAAAGTAGAAAGTTAAAAATCAGCAAATGGAAGATCAAAGTTTATTTATTACCTGTATACAAAAACATTATTGCACATCAAACAACCAAAATAAAAAAAAA